CGACACCTGGACCGCAAGCTGCTCCTCGGCGACCACCGGCACTCTCCACACCAGCACCCCCAGAGGGACCACCCCCAGGGCGACCGGGACGAGCACCCCCAGAGTCGGCGAACGGGGGCTGCGACGACGGCGGCGGCGGCGGCGGCGACGACGACGGCTGCAGCAGCGGTAGGGGCGGTGGAGGAGGGGACTGGGGAGGGGACACCTGGGGAGGGGCGGCCGGTGAGGACTGCACAGGAGGGCCACCAGAGGCAGAAGACTCCTCAACCGGGTCCACGGACGGAAGGGGGGTGACGTGGGACACACTAGAGGGGGCGGGACGGGGAGGAGGAGGAGGAGGGGCAGGGACTACCGGGGAAGGGGTGACCAGGAACAGGGGGGGGGTAACCGGGGGACCACGGTGGGGAAAGCGGCGGTAGTAGGAGGCGGACTCGTCAAAAGTGACGTCACGAGAGTGAAAGAAGCGGTGAGACGGCGGGTGGTAAAAGTGCCAGTCGGACGCGTCAAGGGGAAAACCGAGGAAGACGCAGGGAAGGGTGCTGGCAGTGAGCTTGTCCGTGCCGGAGGCACGGACGTGAGCAAGGCAGCCCCAGACGTGGAACGCAGACGCGTCACCAGGGGACCCAGTCCAAAGACGGGTCGGCGAAACCTGCCGCTGATGAGGGTGCGGCCACAGGTTAAGCTGGTGAGAAGCGTAGCGCACAGCGAACGGCCACAGAAAATGGGGTGCACCGGCATGGATCATGGAGGTGCGAGCGACCTCCATGACCAAACCGATGCGTCGCTCAGCGACCCCATTCTGCTGTGGGGAGTCCGGTAGGGTGAACGACTGGGTGATGCCCTCCGCACGACAAAAGCGACCAAGGACACCGGAGGCAAACTCGCCACCACGGTTTGAGTGAAGACGCAAGACAGGGAGACCGCGGTGGACACGCGCAGAGACAAGCCAGGGGATGAGAGCGCCAGGCACGTCGGCCTTGCGCTCCAGGGGAAAGACGGTGGTGTAACGAGTGAAGTCGTCGACAAGCACAAGGAAGTAGCGCTCTCGACGCGGCCCAGGGACGGGGGCGGGGCCCCAGACGTCCAGGTGCAGGGTCTGCAGCGGCGCGGCGGTAGGGGGAAACGAGGAGGAGTGAGGGGCACGGCGAAGCCGACCCTCGACACAAGGCGTGCAAGGTGGGGCTGGAGAGGAGGGAAACGCGGGGAGCGAACCTGGGAGACCAAGGACGAGACCGTGCTGAGACATGTGACGCAGACGCGGGAGCGCAGGGTGACCTAGGCAGTGGTGCCACAGGAGGGTCGGGTGAGTGAGGGAGCGACAGGAGCAGGCAGCAGCAACCTGGGTAGACGCAGCCACCTGAGGGGGCGCTCCAGCCGGTGGGGTCACGGTGTCCAGAGTGAACAGGCCGGACACCGGGTCCCGGGGGAACGTGGACAGGGGGGCACCAGTGGCGGCCTCGGTACAGACAGCATACCGCTCGTGACCAGGGAACGTAGTGGTGACGCCAAGGTCCTGGAGGCAGCCGACACCAACTAGGTTCCTGGAGAACGAGGGGATATGCAGACCTGTAAGAGAACCCGAAGGAACTGCCGTACAGGGAAGGGTGGTGGAACTGCGGGCGACTACCGGACCGCCGGAGGGGTCAGCAAGAGAAACGGCAGCAGGAACAGGAAGCGGCGTCAGGGTGGTGGAGTCGCGGAAGAAACACCGAGAGGCGCCAGAGTCCAAGGTGAAGGAAAGCGAAGCCGAGGGGTCTGGCGACGGAACGACGGCGGAAGCACCAAGACTACACAAAGCAGGGGATCCTACGCCTGACGCAGCAGGGGAGGCTAAGCTAGGCACACATATACTAGGCAACAGTGAGTAATAAGCGGGAAGCACACTAGAGTCATCAGCATACATCACATGCAGAACAGAAACAATGGCATCCATGTCCATATCAAAAATCTGAATCTGACGACTAAGCAAACTGTGCCAGTCCGGGAGTTCTGGCGACGGGCCGAAGCGCTGATGAAAGAGGTCGTCCAGGCAACGAAAACAGCGGGGAGTGGAGTGACCGAGCTTACCGCAAACGAAGCCGCGGCGAGGACCGGTCTGGATCTGGTACTGACAACGCCCGCCGCCAGAGCCACCACGCGGCACACCACCACGCGCCCGGCCACCGCCAGCGCCGGGCCACCCTGGCGGGAGGACACTCGTCTGCCGCGTCTGCGACGGCTGCTGCGGCTGCTGTGAAGGCTGCGACTGCGGCGGCTGCTGCGGCTGCTGCACCTGCAGGGGCGGCGACTCAGCTGAACTGGGCAGGGTCCCCTCGTCCACTCCAGCACCAGGCGACCCGACCCCACCACTACCCCCGCCCGCACCCCCGCCGCCTCCTCCGCCGCGCCCAGCCTTGGGGCGGCGGCCCTTCCCCGAACGGACCTGCGCTGCAGCAGCAGTCTCAGCCACTGTGGCAGAGCCGTCGGAGAAGGTGCACTGAGCGGGGGCACAACCCTGAAAGATAGGGACCGGCACGACACCGCTCGCCTGGGCAATGGAGCGGTGACGGGTCTCTATCACAGTCAGGGTGTCTACAAAGTCAGTGAGGGTGAGGTCTGCGGGGTGAACGCTAAGAAAGCGGTCGCGGGCGACAGCAAGGCGGTCAGGGAGGCGGGTGGCAAGCAGGTAGAGGGTAGAGGTAATGGGCGGCTGGTGGGCTCTAAGCTGGGCGTCAGTGCAGGCAGCGCGCCAGGTCTCATCTATCGAGCGCAGGTGGGCAGCAAGGTCAGAGACAGTGGGGAAAGATGCAAGGTCAGGAAAGAGCATCGGAAGGATCAGGCGACCCACCGAGGCAGCCGGAGGGGTGGAATAGCGCTTGATCACAGCATCTAAGTATGCCTGAGCAGTAGTGAGGGACCTAAAGCGAGGACGCTCGGATGGGGGAAGGGCGTTGCTAATGGCAAGCTGGGCAACAGCATCGCGAGAAAGCCAGACAGAGCGCGCACGGGCAGTGGCAGCAGTAGCCTCACGCTCAGTGGGTGTGGGGTCAGCGGGCAGAATAGCAGGGGGGTCTGGGCAGGGGAGCGTACCGTCAAGGTGTGCTGAAAGCGGTTCACCATCCTGCCGCTGGCCAGTGAGTTGACGGCGGAGGTCAGCAAGCCACACCTCGAACTCTAGGGGCTGGCCTTCAGCGTCGAAGCGAAGCTCCGCCGCCATCAGGAACAGTCCAGTGCAGTGCAGGGCAGTGCAGTGCGGTGCAGTGCGGTACAGTGCGGTGCAGTGCGGTGAAGTGCGGTACAGTGCGGTGCAGTGCGGTGCAGTGCTGTGTAGTGCGGTGTAGTGCGGTGCCAGGCAGTACAGTGTGGTGCGGGGCGGCACGGAGCAGGGCGGGGTGGGGGGGAACCGTACCAGTGAGGAGGACGGGGCCGGGGCTGGCCCAACGGGGCCGGGCGGGCGCGACGGGGCCGGGCTGGTGCGACAGGGCCGGGACGGGGCGACGGGGCCGAGCGGGCGCAACGGGGCCGGGCTGGGGCGACGGGGCCGGGCGAGTGCGGCAGAGCCGGGCCGGTGCGACGGGGCCGGGCGAGCGGGACGGCGACCGGGCGGCTGCGACGGGGCCGGGCGGCTGCGACGGGGCCGGGCAAGGGCGACGGGGCCAGGCGGCTGCGACGGGGCCGGGCGGGCGCGACGGGGCCAGGCGGCTGCGACGGGACCGGGCGGGCGCGACGGCGCCGGGCGGGCGCGACAGGGCCGGGCGGCTAGGACGGCGCTGGGCGGGCGCGACGGGGCCTGGCGGCTGCGACGGGGTCGGGCAGGGTGCGACGGGGCCCAGGAGGGGCGCGACAGAGCCCAGGAGGGGCGCTACGGGGCCTGGGCGGAGCGCGGCGCGGCCCAGGAGGGGCGCTAGGGGGCCTGGGAGGAGCGCGACGGGGCGCTACGGGGCCTGGGAGGAGCGCGACGGGGCCCAGGAGGGGCGCTAGGGGGCCTGGGAGGAGCGCGACGGGGCCTGAGAGGGGCGCGACGGGGCCTGGGAGGGGCGTTATAGGGCCCAGGAGGGGCGCTACGAAGCCCAGGAGGGGCGCGACGAGGCCCAGGAGGGGCGCTACGGGGCCCAGGAGGGGCGCGACGGGGCGCTACGGGGCCTGGGAGGAGCGCGACGGGGCCCAGGAGGGGCGCTAGGGGGCCTGGGAGGAGCGCGACGGGGCCTGGGAGGGGCGCGACGGGGCCTGGGAGGGGCGTTACAGGGCCCAGGAGGGGCGCTACGAAGCCCAGGAGGGGCGCGACGAGGCCCAGGAGGGGCGCTACGGGGCCCAGGAGGGGCGCGACGGGGCGCTACGGTGCCTGGGAGGAGCGCGACGGGGCCCAGGAGGGGCGCTAGGGGGCCTGGGAGGAGCGCGACGGGGCCTGGGAGGGGCGCGACGGGGCCTGGGAGGGGCGTTACAGGGCCCAGGAGGGGCGCTACGAAGCCCAGGAGGGGCGCGACGAGGCCCAGGAGGGGCGCTACGGGGCCCAGGAGGGGCGCGACGGGGCGCTACGGTGCCTGGGAGGAGCGCGACGGGGCCCAGGAGGGGCGCTAGGGGGCCTGGGAGGAGCGCGACGGGGCCTGGGAGGGGCGCTAGGGGGCCTGAGAGGAGCGCGACGGGGCCCAGGAGGGGCGCTAGGGAGCATGAGCGGAAGCGGTAGGTGGGGGGGATCCTACCTACGCGTGATACCATATCAGAATTGAAAATTGAATTGATGGTAAAGTGAGAGTACACACAAATATACCTAAGTGTTGTACCCTCTAAGAGGTAACCCTATACAGTCTATACAAACATGACAAATGCAGTTGTTTGACAGTAACAACCACCCCATTTTGTGTTATATCTGTAGGATAATTGAGTAGCCACGACTAGAAGCCACGCTAACGAGTCATTGAGGGTTCGCCGAACCTAGACTTTTGTCAGCCAGATCTTATTGCCTGCTTCTCCCGCCTTCCCAAAGCACCTCCCCTCTGGCACAAATCGCCAAGCCGCCATCGTCGCACCCAATCGCCTGAGCCGCCTGCTCCTCCCCCCTCGTCCTCCCCTCACCCTCAGTCCAGATCATCCCTCCCTAGCTCCTCCCAACACTCTTAGCCCTAATCCACTATTTAATCGGAATCCCTTACCAGTCTCTCACCTGTCTCCTCCCCTTTCCAGTAGCTCCATCAAGTCCACCTCACTTCAACCTTCACCCCACCCTTCACCCCACCCTTCACCCCATCCTTCACCCCAACACATCGCCTCAACTCCATCTCTTCAACCATGCTTCGTTCGCTCGCTAGCAGGCGGTTTTCTGCCGCACGGTCCGTGGCGGATCGACTCTTTCGCCCACTGGCTGCAGCCTCCGCGGCAGCAGATGCAGGTACCGTTCCACTCAGCCAGCCCGCCGGTCCTGCCGTTGGCCAGATCCCTGCGTCTTTCTCGTTGGGGGCGATTCGTGCGATCAGCGGGAGCACGGTGGCCCCATCGGTGTACGACGTGGGGCACTCGACGAACATCAAGTGGCACGAGGCCAAAGTCAGCAAGGACGAGAGGTAAGCTGCCTATCCCCCCGTGCTTTCTTGGTTGCGGAAGCGCTAAATCGCGGGAATGGGGTATCCGTACTCACCGATAAACCCTGAATATACTGAAACACATTGTGAGCAGCCTGCGCGTCAATGGTTTCGCACGAGGTAGCCAATAAGTGCCGGGTAGCGATATCCGTGCGTCATGAAGCTTATCTCTGTCGTTGGTGCGGCCTTGCACGGCGCCTTGGTCGGCCGCTCACCGCATTGCCCTGTCCACCTGTGCCATCCCTTGTCGCCTCGCCCTTGCCATGTCGCTCGCGGTGGTCCGAATGGCAGGCAGCGCCTTCTAGGGCAACGCGGGTGCGTGATTTGGATGACGGGGCTGAGCGGCTCGGGCAAGAGCACCCTGGCGTACACGCTGGAGCACGCGCTGATGGAGCGAGGGCGGATCGCCGTGGTGCTGGACGGCGATAACGTGCGGCACGGGCTCAACAAGAACCTCGGCTTCACGTATGTCCGCCGCTCTCGCGCACCTGCTGCTGCGCCTTGCCGCGGCCTACACCCGAGCGATTTCAGCTGGATACTCTGGCCTTTTGCTTCTCTTGCACTTGTCTCCTCTGTTCCAACGCTTTCCTTGCTCGCACGGACCACCACCCCCTCTGCTGCCTATCTTTCTTGCCAGCGCGGCGGATCGTGAGGAGAACATTCGGCGAGTCGGCGAGGTGTCGAAGCTTTTTGCCGATGCCGGCATCATCACCATCGTCAGCTTCATTTCGCCCTACACGTGAGTCGTGCTTCGCCTTCACCTCAACTTTTCGGTCCACTCCGACCCTCAGTCTCTGCCTTGTGAAGCACACCCTCCGTTTCCCATATACTGCGTTTCCTCGCGTTCGCATCAAGCGTTTCGTCCTCTTGGCCATCGAAGCCTCGCGTTTCACCCTTGTTGCGCCCCCCTCGCTTCCCGTCCCGGCACCTTCTCGTCGCCTGTTCACTTGCGCTCTGTCCCTCGCTGCGTTGCGACTGGCAGCAAGGACCGGCAGGCGGCGCGGGCGCTGGTGGAGGCGGGCGAGTTCATCGAGGTGTACATGAAGATCCCGCTGGCCGTGTGCGAGGAGCGCGACCCCAAGGGGCTCTACAAGAAGGCGCGCGCGGGCCAACTCAAGGGCTTCACTGGTGAGATACGCTGCTGGGCTGGATGGGGGCTCAGAGAACTGGCCACTACGGCATGGGGATGGATTATGGTGTTGATTTGCAGCCTAGTTGCTTGCTTCCATGCACCATTGGATCTTGTGCTGGACCTTGAGAAGCAGAGCTGGCATGCTGATGGGGTGTGGTGATGGTTATGTACATGCGCAGGCATTGACGACCCGTATGAGGAGCCCGAGGCAGCTGAGCTGGTCATTCAGGTTGCCAAGGAAGACGGGGTGCTGCAGCCACCAGAGAAGATGGCCGCTGACCTCATTGAGTACTTGGACAAGAGGGGCATTCTATCTGGTCCCAAATGACAGGTTGAACATGCTGCTTGTTGCCCCTCACCGCCACACCGGTAATTATGCCACGGAGAAGCATGTTATTGACAATGGCTGGTCCGAATGTACCCTTGTTGCTCTGGAAAGCATAGTAACAGACTGAGAAATGAAACGGTAAAGAGTTGAGTTGAGACTTCAACTGTTAAAAAGTAAGCTAAGATCTAGTAGGAAGGAAGGTGTTAGGCTGAGGAAAAGCCCTAGGATCTTTTCACAGGCTAAATCCCACTTGTATAAAATACTTGAGTAGTGCAGCGGAAGTGTTGAGTAGTTGCACCCTGGCACTAGTACTGTATTCCCCCATGTATAACACCCTAGGGTATTGTCAAAATTTCATCAAAAAAATGTATGGGTGTTAACAACAGGCTGGAAAAATGCAACACCCATGTTTTATGTAAAATGCAAAATGAATTTGGGTTGTAACACGCACTCTGAGGCTATAACTTCACCAAGCATCTGCTAACGAAGAATCTGCTACGAGATTGCGTACTCTGAAAGGGTCAGTTTGGTACCTCTCAAAACGGTGGGAGATTGATGCAGCAGCAGTGCCAGGTGTCATTGACCAATCTTGTAGGGGTGCTGTGAACAGAGTCACGACCATTGCTGACGCGATCGAGGTGGTTCAACAGCAAGATGGACGGTTGAGATCCTCTCGACACTTTTTGTCTTTCGATTTCATTTTGCCACTTGTATTGATTCTTCTGCCCGTCTTTGCGCTGCGAATGGCAGCTGACGCGATTTTCATCCTGCTCGTTTTTTTGCAGCTGAGCGAACCTTGTATCAAACCTAGAATTTAATAATAAGAGAGAGAGAGTACACAAACATATACCTAAATGTTGTACTCTCTAGAAGGTGACCCTATACAGTCTATACAAACATGATAACTACACATGTTTGACACACCCCCTGGACTGCATAGGGGAATGTTCTAGACAAGCAGCTCAGGGTGGCACTACTAGTCCAGCCTCTGAGACAAGGGTCTAAAAGACCAGTCAGAAGGAGTACAGACAAGGCAAGAACGAGTACAGGGCGGCACTACTAGTCCAACCACTGTGAGAGGACACAAGTCCAGTCTGAGTGTATACATATATATATATACGACAGTACAAAGTCAAAGCCCGAGTAAGTGAGAGACTACAGGAACCAGACCAAGCTGTAAACAGTGCCGCTGATGATCTTTAGGCGCAAGCGCCTTCGTAAAGATATCAGCTGTGTTGGCACCGGAGGCCAAGTGTACTACACGAGCCTGGCGACGCTGCTGTAGCTCGCGCAGGAGGAAGTACCGCAGCTGGATGTGCTTCGCTCTGCCCTCGAGTCGAGGCTCCTGACACAGGAGAATCATGGCCCTGTTGTCAGCGTACAGGACCGGGGCAGAGCTAGGCCGCTCACCTAAGTCAGTGAGCAAGAAGGTCAGCCAGCGGAGCTCCTGTGCCGCCATGGCACCGGCGTAGATCTCAGCCTCACAGCTGGACTGGGCAACAGACGAGGAGCGGGTAGCTCTCCACGAGACAGCACCTGAGCCAAGGCTAAAGCAGTAGCCCTGGGAAGACCTGAGCGTCTCGGCGTCGTCTGCCCAAGAAGCGTCTATGTGTCCAGTAAGGACCACTGGCCTGCGTCCGCCTAGCACTAACCCCATGCCCGATGTACTTGCAAGATAACGCAAAACCCTCTTAGCGGCAGACCAGTGCTGAGGTCGGTGTCTGCCTGTGGCCACAAAACGAGCCAGGATGCTGAGAGGGTATGCGAGATCTGGGCGAGTGCAAGTCATCAGGTACATGAGGCAACCCACTAGCTCAGCGTAAGGACCACTGGGATCTACCGACTCCTCAGGAACTGGAGCGGAGAGTCTGTGGTCCAGAGGAAGAGGGGTGGGCTGTGCGGAGGAGAACTGAAGGCCGAACCTCTGAAGGACCTGGCGCACCAAGTGTGACTGAGTCAGGGTGATGGTGCGCGCGGCTCTGTCCCTGGAGATCTGCAAGCCAAGGTAACGGCGCAGCTCTCCAAGGTCAGTGCAGGTGTGTCTCTTCAGCAGCTCTGCCTTCACGGAGGCCAGTGCGTCCCTGTCAGCTGTGGCAAAGACCAGGTCGTCTACGTAGACGAGGATGTAGAACGGAGTCGAGCCAGCACGAACGAAGAGCGAGGGGTCTGCAGAGGACGGAAAGAACTGCAGGTCAGCAAGAGTAGCACGCAGCGTGTCGTGCCACTCACGAGGCGCCTGGCGCAGGCCGTAGACTGGGCGCCGCAGAAGCCACTGGGTCCCAGGGGGGAAGGTGCCAGTAAAGCCCTGAGGACGACGCAGGTAGACCTGCTCGTGAAGGCTGCCCTGAAGAAAGGCAGTGGAGAAGTCGAGGGAGTGAAGCTCGTAGTCACGCTGGGCCGCTACGTGTAGCAGAACCCAAAGAGTAGTCATCTTCGGGGTAGGAGCGAAAGTCTGAAAGAAGTCCACCCCCTCGCGCTGACTGAAGCCTCTAGCCACGTAACGCGCCTTGAACACAGGCGGCTCTCCAGGAGGGCGCTTCACCTTGAAGAGCCAACGGCCATCGACCACGTTCACCCCAGGTGGGGGAACTGCGTCGACGAAGGTGCCGGTGGATCTCCAAGATGCCATCTCCTGCTCCATGGCAGCTATCCACTGAGAGGCCCAAGGTCCCGAAACCGCCTCAGCGTAAGGGTCGGGATGTCAAAAGCGTCTGGGTCACCCTCAGGGACTAGCAGCATGGAACAGAGATGGGGAGCAGCCTCGGAAAGGAAAGCAAGCTCAAACTGGCGGTCCTCCAGGACGTCACTGCCGAGGGCAGGAGCACCCCCGACAGACGGAGGACAGGCAGGGTCAGAGACCAGAGCGGAGGCGTAGTCAAGGCGGCGGGTAGAGGCGAAGTCAGCGACCGCAGCGACAAGGGCGTCAAGACTCGACACTGGAACAGACGGGTCGGTAACGAGAGAGGCAAGGACCCGAGGAACAAGAGGACGAGCGGCACGAAAGTAGTCAGACAGAGGAGGAGACGCAACAACAAGAGAGGACGGAGGAGGAGACGGGAGGAGGGGAGGACGAGACGCGTGGGAGCGGAGCAACATAGGGTGAGTGCGCGGGACGGGGGAGACAGGACGAGCACGGGAGGGGCGGCGAGACCAGACGTGAGAGGGCGGCGTCGGGTCAGGAGACAGAGGAGGGGACACGGGTGGGGAACGAGGGGGAAAACGAGCCGGGGACGAGTCCGGCGGAGGGAACACGGGGCCGTAGACGGGAAGAGGGGGAGACGGCCGGAGAGGAACAGGCGCAGGGTCAGGGGACGGAAGGCCGAGCAGACGGAGGGCGGACACCGGCGGGGACTGCTGCTGCGGCGACACAACACCAACGCCAGGGCCACAAGCTGCGCGACGGCTACCTCCCGAACCCTCCACACCGGCACCCCCAGAAGGGACACCCCCAGAGCCCGAAACACCGCTAGCACCGGTACCACCCCCAGGCCCGCCGGGACAAGCCCCGACAGGAGCCCCGGGACTAGTACCCACCTCAACGCCAGCACCTCCAGAGTCCACAAACAGCGGCAGCGACGACGGCGGCGGCGGCGGCGGCGGCTGCAGCGACGGCATCGACGGCGGCGGCGGCGGAGACGACGGCTGCAGCAGCTGCGGCGACGGCGGCTGCGGAGGCGGTGGAGGAGGAGACACCGGGGGAGGGACAGACGGCGAGGACTGCGCCAAAGGACTACCAGAGTCAGAAGACTCGTCGACCGGAACGACCGACGGGAGGGGGATAACGTGAGACACACCAGAGGGGGCCGGACGGGGGGGCGGGGGGGGGGGAGGGGCAGGGGCCACCAGGGAGGGAGGAACCAGGAACAGGGGGGGAGTAACCGGGGGACCACGGTGGGGAAAGCGGCGGTAGAAGGAGACGGACTCGTCAAAGGTGACGTCGCGAGAGTGAAAGAAACGGTGAGACGGCGGGTGGTAGAAGTGCCAGTCGGACGCGTCAAGGGGGAAACCAAGGAAGACGCAGGGGAGGGTGCGGGCAGTGAGCTTGTCCGTGCCAGAGGCACGAACGTGAGCAAGGCAGCCCCAGACGTGGAACGCAGACGCGTCACCAGGGGACCCGGTCCACAGAAGGGTCGGCGAAACCTGCGGCCGCTGGGGGTGCGGCCACAGGTTAAGCTGGTGAGCGGCGTAGCGCACGGCGAACGGCCACAGAAAATGGGGTGCACCGGCGTGGATCATGGAGGTGCGAGCCACCTCCATGACCAAACCGATGCGTCGCTCAGCGACCCCATTCTGCTGCGGGGAGTCCGGCAGGGTAAACGTCTGGGTGATGCCCTCTGCACGACAGAAGCGACCAAGGACACCTGAGGCGAACTCGCCACCCCGGTCGGAGTGGAGGCGCAAGGCAGGGAGACCGCGGTGGACACGAGCAGAGACAAGCCAGGGGATGAGAACGTCAGGCACGTCGGCCTTCCGCTCCAGGGGAAAGACGGTGGTGTAGCGCGTGAAGTCGTCGACAAGCACGAGGAAGAAGCGCTCGCGACGCGGCCCATGGACCGGGGCTGGGCCCCAGACGTCCATGTGCAGAGTCTGCAGGGGTGCGGTGGTAGGGGGAAAAGAGGAGGAGTGAGGGGCACGGCGGAGCCGGCCCTCGACACAAGGCGTGCACGGTGGGGCGGGGGATGAGGGAAACTCAGGGAACGAACCGGGGAGACCAAGGACGAGACCGTGCTGGGACATGTGACGCAGACGCGGGAGTGCAGGGTGACCAAGGCGGTGGTGCCAAAGGAGAGTCGGATGAGTGAGGGACCGACAGGAGCACGCAGCAGCAACCTGGGTGGACGCAGCTACCTGGGGGGAAGACCCAGCCGGGGAAGTCGCGGTGTCAAGTGTGAACAGGCCGGACACCGGGTCCCGGGGGAAAGTGGTAAGGGGGGCACCAGTGGCGGCCTCGGTACAGACAGCATACCGCTCGTGACCAGGGAACGTAGTGGTGACGCCAAGGTCCTGGAGGCAGCCGACACCAACTAGGTTCCTGGAGAACGAGGGGATATGCAGACCGGTGAGCGAACCTGAAGGAACCGCCGGACAGGGAAGGGAGGTGGAACTGCGGGCAACGACGGGACCACCGGAGGGGTCAGCAAGAGTAACTGCAGCGGGAACAGGCAGCGGCGTCAGCGTCGTGGAGTCGCGGAAGAAACACCGGG